CTCTCTCTCCTTTCAGATATCAGACCCAAAAAAGTGGAGTTGGACAGTTGTTATTCCATTTCACAGGATAATAAGTAACATTACGGTGCTTCTTGAATCAGTTGTGCTCACCTTGAGTGCAACTGCACCGGGTCCTCTTATTCTGCTTTTGATAGCTTCTGTCAAGTGACAGATCAGTCTTGTAGTACCAAGCAGCTAAGGCTTTATGGTAGGAATCTATCTTAGAACTGGGAGGTCCGAAAACCGTAGAATTACGTGTCTACTGGAACTAGACTCTAAATAACTTTACTGCTGGGAACATCAGTATGTTTTGCTTTTCCCTGTACTCCATTGTAGCAGAAAACTCATTTCAATCTCCTCTTTTTCCTTTCCCCTCCCAGGAAAATTCGTGAAATTTTTAATCCTAGCAGGAGTTGACTCAGTCATGGTTAAAACTTTCAGTTCTAGTGTGGAGCCAAGCAGGTGTTCAGCTTGTAACTGAGAAAAAGATTTGTATATGCCATATTTCTGAGAGTATTTTAGATAGTTACTTCTTAAGAAATAGGATTTCTGATTTGATTTTTTTCTTCAGAATTTTATCAGCTGGCATTAAAAAAAGTGAGAGCTTGATGTCTTAGGTTTATGAGAGAACTAACAGTATTTAGAACCTACTTACTATAGTAACACTTAGGTTTTCAAAATAGAATGAAGAAAGTATTTGTGCTTTAAAAAATCCTTAATGACGTAGTTTAGCTACTTGGCTAATTTCCCAGAAGCAGTACTCTTTAACTGTAAACTCCTGTGTTCATTGTTGTAAAAGAGGAGGAAAAGGCTGGAAGGGCAAACACCAGTCCATTTGGTTAATCATTTGCCAGTGTATTAGTTCCTGTTACATGATCGGTCGGCCTATGCCTGTTATCACTATGTCTTCCTGGAAAAAAGGACCTTATGTGTCCATCTTAATTACCTGTTGTTTTTTTTTATCTTGGTCTACCTATTCATGCCATGACTGGACAGTATTTCAATGGGCAGGATGCCTGTGCTGGTAACTGTAAAGATTCTAAGCTGAGCTACTTATTTTTATGCATGTAATGTGACGTATACACAGAAAATTAAAGACTGTATTAAGTAATGTAAAAGGTGCTGGGTGCTAAAACCATCTGAAAAGATGTTCCATTTTTTTAAAAAATTTTTTACAGTGCTATATGAAAAAGTACCAGTATATTATATTTAGAAATGTAATTACTCTCTAACTTGTACATATTATGTATGCTTCAGTTGTTCTCTCATGCAGATTATATAATTATACAAGTTTAATAGGAATGGGTATTTTGTGATAAATTAAAATATTTAAAAAATAGACTGATTGATAGAGAAGCTTTGTGTGAAAGTATCTATTAAGTCAGTCATTTGAATGTATTTAATAACTGATTATAGTCATATTCTTCTGAATTACCTTGCAATAGCCTGTCAGAGATAAAATGCCTGATACATTTGTACCTTTGCTGTTATCAATGATGCCAGTTCTTATCTACCCTTGAGAAATTATTTATCATAAAATCTTCTATTTTGAATGAGTTATCAAGATGCATGAGTTTAAGTTATCATCAAGCATGACTGAGTTATCGTGACGTATGCATGAATTACGCCAATTCAACAGCAGTGTTGTCAATATAGGAGCAACAGTGCATGTGTGCATGACTGAACATGTGTTTGAGTGAGGTAAGAAGTGACTATCTCTTACAAACTACTCAGAAAACATATTAAAACTTAAGAAATACTTGCTATTGCAGCAACTAGCATTCCAAAGATATGAGTTATCAATGAATAGAAATTGTCAAAAAGGACAGAGGCCTGAATAAACAGGAACTTGGAACACATTGGCACCTTTGCATTATAATTTCCGTGCATCTATTATAGTGAACACAAAGAAGAATAGCAAACACTCATACTTAAAAGGAATTTGCAGTCCAACTTGATGTAAAGTAATGGAAATGCTTTCAGTTTCAAAGCTGATCAGTAAAACCATGAAATGTTATTTATATTCCTACCATAGTTAGTAGCTTCGTACTAATTTTTCAAGTTTTATATGTATGTAGACGTAAAACAGATGGAGCATGAAAGCTTTTTCATAGTACTTGAAATATAGCCTGTATCCCATAAAAGGGCTGGATTAGGTTATTAGGAGTGATGAACAGTCCCTAAGGCTAACATTTGTGTTGATGCAACCTTCAAGTTGGTTGTTCTGTTTGGAAAGGAGAACGTTTACCGGCTTCCTAGCCTCTCAGCATTCAGAGGTTCTTGCTACTGCTGCGGGCTGTGCCTGGTATTCTCATTTTATCCTTGTTTTTATAAAAAACCCAAATATGTGTCTTCAATGATACTGCAGAATGATTTAGATCTAGTCCATAATTTCTTTGCTATTTTAAAGGAGATTGTAATAGATAACTTTGCTGGTGAACCCTGCAACTCAGTATGGAATCAGCAAATGGACCCGATGGCACCTGTGTAGCATCACAGTCTAGGAAACAGGGTTGTCAGTGTCCTTTTTTGGAGACTAAACTTTTATTTGCTTTCTTGCTTGTCATACCGTGGGAGAGTAGTTGTGGAGCTGTTAAAACAATCCAAGTCTTCAAAAGACTGTTCTGTCAGCCAAAAGATTTCAACACTGGTGAGGACACATCTGGAATACTGTGTCCAGTTTGGGGCTCCCCAGTGAGAGTGAGACATGGACATACTGGGGAATGTCCAACACAGGATCATGAAGATGATGAAGGGATGGGAACATCTTTTCTCTGAGGAAAGGCTAAGAGAGCTGGGACTGTTTAACGTGGAGAAGGCTCGGGGGGGATCTTCTCAATGTATTATAAATGCCTGAAGGGAGAGTGCAAAGAGGATGGAGCCAAGCACTTTTCAGTGGTACTCAGTGAGAGGACCAGAGGCAATGGGTACAAACTGAAACAAAGGAGGCTCCTCCTAAACATGGGGTAACGCTTTTTTTACTCTGCAGGTGACTGAACACTGGCACAGGTTGCTTGGAGAGGTTATGGACTCTCCCTCCATCCTTGGGAGATATTCAAAAGCCACCTGAACACAGTCCTGGGCACCTGGCTCAAGGTGTCCCTGTTTGAGTGAGAGGGGTTGAATCAGAGGACCTCCAGAAGTCCCTTCCAACCTCAGTCATTCTGTGATTTGTAGCAAGTTATTCCACATTTTTGCTTTGAATAACTAAGGACTTTGGCAGCATTTGTTATTTAGCTATAACCTCATCTTCTGTTAAAGGTCTATTCCTTTCAATCCGGAAAACTTTTTGGAGGTAAAAATGCAGGTCTTTCAGTTGAATATCTTGCTATATGGGGCACAAGCTATCATTTACTTCTAAGAGTTACGCTTCTAAACAGATGAGGTAGGCATCTGCTTTCATAATGAGGCTCGGTATGGGTACATCCTTTGAGCCAGTGACTCCAGGCTTGTTCTTTCATTTTGTGGAGAAGACAGACTGCAAGATGACTGTTGCCTTAGCTAAGAGGGTAGGAAAGGTGTAAGGTCTTGTATAATTTTCTGTACGCTCTGTTACTTAGTGACAAAATAACTCCACTGAATGTTCTGTAGATTTCTGTGTAATGTAGTTTTCAAGTTTCATCTGAACTAGGAATTCAGATTTTTAAGAATAAATGTTCAGATCTGCATGTTCCTTTTGAAGCCTGTATTTCAAGGGTATTTTGTTTTTCTTCAAGTATGATGATGTATTTTAGATTTATTTTTTTTCTGTAGCATACAGATGCACAGACATGGTTTTTCTTATACGAAGATTGTGGGCAGCAGATTATATCAAGACCTACGGCAGAAATGGAATTAGTGGATAGCAATTCATTAATGTACAGATTACTTTGGTGGCACCTACCAACAATGTTATTGTTTCAGGGATCTGCAGACTAACTATGTAGGATCCACATTTTTATGAAATGCTATTCTGTAGGCTTCTGACTGTGATGTTATATTTGTAAAACAGTTCTGTCACCGCTTCCTTCAGGACTCTGATATCAGTCAGATCATTGCCACAGTTGAATTTGTATACAGACGCATGTTTGAAGGAGACAGTGAAACCAATTTTTCCAATAGGTAAAACTCCTTTGAGGTGTTTGTCCGTCTGTACGCTTGCAATCACGTCTGTTAATTTTGGAATCATGTTAATAAGGATGTGGGATTGTGGAGATAAGAGCAACTATGAAGGGTGTGAGATGAATTCTGTGTGTTTCAAAGTGATCTAGCACTTTGTTTCCCAGCTTGAGAGGGCAGACAAGCTGGAGCATCAGATGAGGTACTACTGACTAGAAATTATCCATTTCAGATGCTGGGGCCATGTGTATGACCCCAGTGTGATAGATGTAGCATATATGCAGAGCTTTAAAGGATGTGCAGTTCTTTATATGTAGCATTCCTTTTTAGTTGTATAATAGTTGAAATAACTTTTTCAAAATCACATGTCTTAATGGTTTAATATGATGGTCCAACTTCTGGAGCCATGAGAGCTGTCTGTGCATTTTGAGATCCCCTGGTTTGATTCTTCTCTTGTTAGTATGACAACATCTTACATGTATTTCCCTTGATAGTCACCTCCTTTCTGCAGCAGCTGCCCACTCCCACTGGCCTGCTTTCTCTTTTTCCAGTGTAAGCAGATGTTCCCCATTTTCTGTCCTCAGTGTACTTTCCTTCCTGCTTCAGTGCCCTCCCCAAATAAAAATCTATTCACCTGTTCAGATCTTTCTATTATTTCCCACTCCACCCGCCGCCCCCCCCGCTCCCCCAGTGGACTCCTTCCTTTTTTTCTTGCTGAAAATAGATAATAGTTTTGTCTCTTGGGGTTTTGTTTTTTCCCCTTGTAAGTTAATAAGCAAATGAGGTAAAAATTTCTAGAGGTGGTAGGAGGTATCAGAGTTTTCATTGGAAAGTGCAACATTTCCAATAGGGAAGACAAGTAATATGTATCCTCTGCTTCTTACTGCTGCCAACTACATAAGGATGTGACCTGAATTCTCCTGAAGAAGTATCACGTAAGTTTGCAGTAATTTAGCTTGTTGCATGATTGTGTAACTCTGCATACAATTCCTGCATGAGTTTACATGACAGTATTCTATGCTTGTGCTTACACATTTTTTGTTAGGGTTGCAATGTCTTAAGTATTGCTGCAACCTTGTGCGTAACCCTCTCCTAGGTGAAAATTCCAGAGGCAATGAGCCAGGTTGTTAGCAGCATTATGTCTTGATTTGAAAGTTGGGAGTTAAAATTGTACATGTTTAACTGCTGATTATTTTGTATGTTTGTGTATCTCTGTATTATCTCTAAGACTTGTAATGCATAAATATTGCTTTCTAGTGCTGGAAAAGGCAAACATATTTGTATTTTTTCTATTTGATCTCCTATTATTATCTAGTTGAAGGCTGACAAGGTGAATTTAAGTAAATTAATAAATTCAGATAATTTCACTTCTTTTTTTATTGCGACTATTACGGAAATTATTTTGTTTCCTGTAAAATGATGATTTGCAAAGTTCCAAAGTAACCATAAAGCATTACTGTAATTTCATTATGATTCAGATGAGTAAGGCATGAAGATGGCATAGAACCTGTGCTACAGAGATGCCCAGGTGTTTTGGTGGAATCTGGAGTTCTAGCAGTGATAAGACAGGCAACACAAAATGATCTTTTAAGAATGACTGTTTTCAGTATGCAGCCGATAAGAAATTTGGGAGGTCTATTAAAGTGTGTAACTGCAGGAGAAAACAGTTGCTTGATCCTGAGATCCATAGGCCCTGACATGCTCTTCTGGGTTCAGGAGGGTCTCTTAAAGTATAACCAGAAAAAAGTGAAGCTTTAGTGGTAACCTTTTTATCCAGTAGCAAAAATGTCATTCTGTTCCTTTTGAACATGGGGTATTGAGTTCTTACATTGGTGGTTAAAACCTACTACGTCTGCTTTCACATGCATAATAAGCAGTGTGTGTGGTTTTTCCTGGGAAAAGAGAATGCTAACCTTTCTGTTAAATCTGTGCTAAAAGAAATTCAAGGCTAACTGGTTGTTGGTAGGATGCGAGAAAGACAAAAGAGGAGGATTGTGGCTTTGTAACCCATTTGCTGGGACCCTGGATATCAGTTCTTCTTCCAAGAACTGCTTTATGTCTTCGCTCAGTAATTTCATTTTTCAGAATGCCAGGTTTTGTTTGGCACTGTAGCATGCCCTCAAAAGGGGCATTGTGTTGCCTAGCAGGTGTAAAGTATTAAAAGTGATTTGGGAGATGATTCAAATTTGTGTCTCTACCAACTCAGAAGGGACTAGAATCCACTTCCTTCAATCCCTATGTGAGCTTTTTAATTTCTGATCTCTTTGGTAGCATCCTAGACAGCAAAGCCCGAACACCTCAATAAGTCATTTAGTCTGTGTCCCAGTCCCAGGCAAAATTTATTGTGCTTAGAGAAACATTTTTAAGAATCACAGAATGGTTTGGGTTGGAAGGAACCTTTAAAGGTCATCTAGTCCAACACCCCCTGAAATGAGCAGAGACATCTTCAACTAGATCAGGTTGCTCAGAGCCTGTCCAGCCTGACAAAGCTCTCAAAGCTCTCTTAGAATTTATGGAAGTAAATTCAATTTAGGTAAATCCTCCTGATAATTCATGTTACATCTAGTTTTGTCAAGAATCATCAGTGAGCTAGAAATTTTAATCGTATACCTTCTTGACAAGACTTCTCATCTATAACCATCTCCTTCTGAAGTCAGTAGCATATCTTTTATTACAACATATTTTCTACTCTCAAATATGTGAAGCACAAATAACTTAATTTGGAACAATCATGCTGTAAAAGCTTGGAAACTAATTTCAGTTGTGAAATTGTTTATCAATTATCTAATTCATAAACAACAGTAAGAAAATAAGAAAGGATAACGAGGTTGGATTTAAAGAGAGATTTGTGTGATTTTGGTCTTTTTTGTTTGTTTGCATAATAATTTGAATGGTTCCTACTAATACATTATCAAGCCTATGCTGTTATTTTAAGTGAGATTCTTATGACAATGTGTGAATAATGAGAAATAAATTCAGCTTACATAATGCATTTGGGACATCCTATTTGTATGAATTATTTTCTGAAAGGAAAGAATAAGCCAAAAATTCCAGCAATGTTAATGAACGTTTATATAATCACTTTGTCTTTGTGCTATTTTGTAATAAGGTGATTACATTATGTATTTAAAAATACATCTTTTTTTGAGGAGATAAGAAAAAATAGGTATATACTCATTTATGTTCTAAGGTAATGTTAATTTTTTAATGAGTCAGTGGGCTTTGATAATTTTGGTGCATATGTTTAGACAACAGCGGTCACAAAAATACTTGAATTTTGGGTTGATTCTTTATTGCTCAATGTTGAGATATATTGACATGTCTTTTTTAAGATTTGTTATTGTTAAAATCCAGTTCGGAATATTAATATGTCTAGGCTGTCTGAAGTATGTTGCATGATGGGTGGAGTGTTTGGTGGATAAAGAATTGGTTGGATGGTTGCATCCGGAGGGTAATGGTCAATGGCTGGACAACTGGATGGAGACCAGTGATGAGTAGTGTCCCTCAGGGGTCCATAGTGGGACCGGTGCTATTTAACATTTTCATCAATGACTTAGAGAGCGAGATCAAGTGCACCCTCAGCAAGTTTGCAGATGACACCAAACTGAGTGGTGCGGTTGATACGCCAGGACGGGATGTCATCCAAAGAGACCTGGACAAGCTGGAGAGGTGGGCCTGTGTGAACCTCATGAGGTTCAACAAGGCCAAGCACAAGGTCCTGCACCTGGGTCAGGGTAACCCCTGGTATCAGTACAGGCTGGGGGAAGAAAGGATCGAGAGCAGCCCTGCCGAGAGGGACTTGA